CCTGGACCCCTTCCACTAGAGCAGGTTGCTCCAAACCCCTGTGTCCAACCTGGCCTTGAACACTGCCAGGGATGGGGCAGCCACAGCTTCTCTGGGCACCCTGTGCCAGCACCTCAGCACCCTCATGGGGAAGAATTCCTCCCTCCCTTCCCCATCAGACAGCAGAACACACTCTGACTACACTGGTGCTGAGAGAAGCACCCAGTCAGAGAGAGATTGATTCACCCCACTTGTCCCCAACCTTGTCACAAGCACCTTGTCCCCAAGTGCTTGTCACAGTCACCCCAGTGCCAGGAGCCCCTTGGCTGTGCCAGCTCAAATGTGTACATGGCCACCATCCAAAGGCAGGTCTGGGAGATGACCCAGTGTAAAAAGCAAGGGTGCTGCTGAAGGCGGTGAGGTGGCAGGGAACAGGGGTTGCAGAGGGATTTGGGTGCACACCATGGTGCTCAGGGTGAGGAAGAGGAGGCAGCACATGGGACACGAGAGGGGTCACCCACATTCAACCTTCCCCACACTGCAGGCTCGCAGGGCAGCACCCAGGGGAGCAGGGCCACCCCTGCACCGCAGCCCAGCGCCGAGCCCTCCCGGCACCACCAGCCCTGGTTTCAATCATCCCTCGATTACGCACTGTTTGCTTTTGTTGACAGCACATTTACTTGCACTTGTCAAGCACACTGTAAATAGTGAGAGAAACAGCCCTGCCCTTCCTGAGCACAGGAACAGCCAGGAAGGGGCCGGACGGTCCCTCCGGCGGCTCATTCCCAGCACCGGAGCCAGCGCTGCCAGGAAGGGCCGGGTGCAGGATCGGTCCACACCTGCTCACACCATCAGCAGCCATGGGAGAGACACTGGCCACCGGGCTTTGGAAAGTGCTGAGGATCCACCAGCTCCCTCAGGAGACAAGGGGAGCACCCATCCTGGACTGCCACAGCCCAGAGTCCGCACCACCGAGTGTCCAGAATTATTTAGTTTAAGGATAATCTACATCTTTCAGCTACAGCCAGGCAGCATCTCGGAGGTAATCTCAGGTCACGGAGGCAGAAGGAAGAGTAATCAGCCGTTCTGAGTGTGGAAGACACAAAGAAACAAGCAGTGAGAATCAGAGGTCGTGGCAGGTTGGTTATAAGTAGGGTGCTGTGCCACTAATCTTCTCCCTGGCAGCCCAACGAGCTGGAGCAGCTCCAGCTTCTGGCACCCTGTCCTTGCCCCTGCTCTGCTGTTTGCTGTCTCTCCAATTGTGCTAATGCAATTCATCACGGGGCAGGGCCAGGAACAGGACCAGTGCAGAGATGCAGGGTTATAAAAAACCCTGTGCTCTGCACAGATGGTCGTGATTGGGTCCAGGGAGGCAGCCTCACTAACTCAGTTAAATCATAATTATAATCACATTGCCACCACTGTGGTCCCTCAGCAGCCCAGCCCACCTCCAGGCTCCACACTTCCCTGCCTGGGGACGTTTGTCACCAAGCTGGGTCACCCTGGAGATGTGTTTAACAGCTCCTTGCTTAGCACAGCTAAGAGGCAGGGAGCTGCCTCCCAGAGAGACCCAGACCCGAGGATGAGAGTGGGGAAGGCTCTGCAGAGGGAGGAAAGACCCACAGGACAACTCCTGTGGTCTGCTGCAGCTGGCAGGCTGGGTTTGAGTTCAGCCAAGTGGCAGCAGAGAAGCCACTGGAGCCCACGTCTCCACCATGCCTCCACCTGGGACCACACTGACAGCCACGGTTATCCATGGAGCTCCTCCTGCACTGACTCTAGCAGGAAAAGCCCATTGGGAGCATGGGTGGACCATCACAGCTGTATGCCTCATAGCTTTCTCTTCCTACATCTCCAGAAGTGGGTGCTACATGCAGCGTATGCTTGCGTCTCCCAGAAACCAGCAGCTTTGCTCTAAACCCACCTGCTCTGAAAGCAGGAGCCAGCGCGGGCTCCACACAGGCTGCATCCTCCAGGCTTGACACCATCCCCCAGGAGACATTCCCAGAGGCAGTGACAGCGCTACAGAGCCATGACCCTGAGCCAGAAGGATCTTCCCTTAGTGCTGCCCTACCCAGGCATGGCTCAGGGGGGCTTAAAAAACAAAAGGTGCCATCCCAAAGCCCAAAATCCATTTCCCCCAGCTCCAAGAAAGTGGCACCATGCAACTTTCCTCCATCAGTTCGGCCAGCCCCTCCTCTCCAGATATTCGTGCCCTGCTGGGGGTGCTCTGCCCCAGTGTAACTGTCCGATCAGGAAGGAAAGAAGCTCTTCCCTGAGGGTGCTGAGGTGCTGGCACAGAGTGCCCAGAGAAGCTGTGGCTGCCCCATCCCTGGCAGTGTTCAAGGCCAGGTTGGACACAGGGGCTTGGAGCAACCTGCTCTAGTGGAAGGTGTCCCTGCCCGTGGCAGGGGTTGGAGCTGTATGAGCTTTAAGGTCCCTTCCAACCCAAACCGCTCTGTGATTCTGTGATTGATGGACAGCACTAACAGCAGGGTTAACATGTTGAAGGAGAGATGTTCCCAGCTCCAACACTACTGAGGAGCTGCTCTCTGCCCAGACAATGTCCCTTTCTCCAGCACTCAGCTGGCACATGGCATATCTCTGCCTGGCACTGAGGCTACACCAGCCCTCTGCTCCCATTGCATGGCAGAGCCACAGACCCTCAGCTGGGGACAGGAGTTGCCTCTGGCCAAGCTGGAACAGTTTTGAAGGCTTTGCAAATCAGATTCCTGCTTGGAGCAGAAATCAGCCATGATGAGGCAGATACTTCCACTTTAATTTGTCCGTTTCTGTTCTGTTTCCCTAAATAGCCCTGGCATCGAATGACTTGTAAGCAACAAGCAGTGCTAATGGATCACTTCTCCCTTGCAAAAAGCGACTGACTTTCCCAGCTCCTGCACTGGAATCCCTGGAGACTCTGCCCCAACAAACCAGCTGTGGAGCAGCCTGGTCACAGCAGCCCCAACTGCAGCTCACCAGTGCTGGGCTTCTGCCCACAGCCTGTCCCCAGTGCAGGCACCCATCCTGCCCTGACCCAAGCACCACACCGAGCACCTCACCTGCCCCTCAGAAGCTGCAGCCTCTCACAGGGCTGCTCTTCCTTCCCCACACTGTATTTCAGGGCCAGGTTTGCTTTCAAACTGCGTCCTGAGCAGTTTATACCTTGCTGGGATGGGAAATGGGGATATGAACTCAATTTAAGTGCCTGATTGTTGCTCTCATGCTCCTTTTCTCCCTCCTGGCCCCAGTGGGATTTTCACCAGCTTTGGCAAGCCAAGAAACCGCCCCCCCCCCCCAACCACATCCCCCCCCCCCCCCCCGTTACAACCTTGGCGGGCCCACACTGGCGCTCTGCTGCACCAAGGGATCATGCTCTTCGCTACTGAAAAGCCCGAGAAAGGTTTGTGTTGTCTTCTGGAGTATTTGTTCACCTATGCAGTAGCCTGGCTCCTTCCAGAGCATGGGGAGCAGACACTCTCAGGGCTTTGCACTGAGCAGCAGGGCTTGTACCTCTACCAGAAAGCCAAAATCCCACCCTCTGCCATGAGGTCTGGGGCAGCGACAGCAAACAGCATCCGAAAACCCAAACCGTCCCAGAGGATGTGTCATGATGGAGAGCTGCCAAGATCCCCCCTTTAGGATCTACTCGAGATGCTCAGACTTGAGTATGTCCTTGCACAGTACCACCCCAGAGGACCCCCCAGCCTGTGGCTGGATCACACCCAGCTGAGAGCAGAGCCAAGCCAAGCCCCAGCAGCATTCCCATCACACGCATCCCCCATGGAGCTGCCTGCGACCCCCTGTCCAGGAACTGTGTGGTGCCAGCCAGATGTACGGCAGGAAAACAAGAGACGTGTTGTCACCTCACAGAATTAGCTGCCCGGGGGGATTTGCATTGCTGAGGTATGGCTGGTAACTATTTTCTCAGGCTCTGTATGTTGTTGCTATTTTAGTCATCTGAAACGTGCAGGAAAAGGAATCCGGAGGTGCTGTCTCCTGAAGAGATGTTTGCACTGACCCAGTTTGGGAGCTGCAGAGCAAAAGTCACATCACTGCCTCCGGCTCCAGCACCGCTCCTGCTCTGAGAGTGAGTCCCTGCCCTCGAGCCAGACAGGACCACGCACCGAGGCTGCATCCACACAGCCGCATGGGGCAGGAGCTGCTTCACCACCATGCAGAAGCCAAGGGGAGGTATCCAGGTGGTTCTACCCCCGAGCTCCCCATCTGCCTCACTTTAAACAGCACAATGGGTTTCTCTTTTCCACCCACCAAGGGTCTAAACCCAGTCCCCAGGAGATGGGATGACTCTAGCAGATTGCGGCTGCTAACAACTCTGGGGTGCCAGCCACAGCCCCAAAGCCAGGCAGATGGAGAGGTGTTAACTACAGTGCTTCAAACCCACTCCACACATACATCTCTTGCCAGCGCTGCTGAGACAGTGCTCTGGGGCCAGGCTGAAGCTCTTCAGTATGGGAAAAGTGCTGGCGCTCCCTTGCTAAGTATGAAAACCAGCACTCATCAAATGACCTTTCTGTGCTCTGAGGCCATCTGTGGGGTCCAGATCAAACACTTGAGCCCATCTGAGTGTACAAAGGGGCAAATCTCTGCACCACAACTCCCATGACCTCAGCTTTTAATCAGGACCCAGAGATCATGGCCTGAACCTCTCCCTCTGCATTCAGCCCTGCCCTAGAGCCAAGCTCTCGGGGAAGGCTGTACACCTGGTTGCATGGCCTCAGCTGTCCAAATACAGATGCTGGCAGGTGTCAGAAGCTGCCTGCTCACTGGAGCCTGCCTCGACTCAGGTCAGTGGCTGCAAACGCAGTAACTGCTTCCCGAAGCAGGGCAGGAAGCTGCAGACACAGCAGCTCCTGATTACAACCTCCCTTCTCACCTAGCAGAAAATCAGCCTCCAGAGCAGCTCTCCTGGTAGGAGCATCACTGGAGCAAAGCCCCCACCATGGACAGAGCCCTGTGATGATAAGTGGCATTCTCAAGCTCCCCCATGGATCTCTTACCTTGTTCTCCGTAGGAGCTGATGCTGGATGTTGCTGCTTGGTGATGTTCTCAGCCAGACACCAGCAGATCCTCTTCTTCTGCTCCTGGGAGTAAGCCTCCAAACTTAATAAGCACTCCGACTTCTGACGTAAAGGAAACACAGGCAGAGAGAAGGTCATTAGCTGTGTGTCGCAGGCCCTGGCTTGCTTTGCAAACTACTCGCTTCCAACACACTGTAGCAGATGAATGTGAGTACAACGGGAAAGCTCACACCAGTGCCCTGTGCTCTGGGATCAAGAAAGGAAAATAGATGGGAAATCAGCTTCACAGTGGCATCTCCTCTGGAGAGAGGGTGAGAGGCTGCTGTGGTGCAGAGCAGAGCAGGGAGGCACGGGCAGAGCACCAGCAGTTCTGCACCCTGTGCCATCTCGGTGGAAATGCGTCTATTAAGCTAATTTAGAGGGTGGAAATTGCTCTTTGCTGTATGCAAACATCAGCGAGGCGCTGCAGCGTGAGCTGATGGACACAAGTGCCTCTGAGCTGGGTGCAGCTGGGGGGGAGGCAGAACTCTGGAGAATCACAGAACCACAGAGTGGTTTGTGTTGGAAGGGACCTTAAAGCTCATCAAGTTCCAACCCCCTGCCACGGGCAGGGACACCTTCCACTAGAGCACGTTGCTCCAAGCCCCTGTGTCCAACCTGGCCTTGAACACTGCCAGGGATGGGGCAGCCACAGCTTCTCTGGGCACCCTGTGCCAGCACCTCAGCACCCTCACAGGGAAGAGCTTCTGCCTTAGAGCTCATCTCAGTCTCCCCTCTGGCAGGTTAAAGCCATTGCCCTTGTCCTGTCCCTACAGGCCCTTGTCCAAAGCCCCTCTCCAGGTTTCTTGCTGAGACACCGACCACCTTCTCGTTAAGCCAAATCCCACTGTAAGAAACTTTCTAACCATATTCTCCTGGCAAATGTCTCTAGGCTGCTAAACAGCTCATCCCAAATTAGGCATTAGTAACATTTGCTGCCCATTGGGATTTTTCAGGTTTCGCTCTAAAAAGGGCTGAGAAATGCCCATGGTTGAATCATCCCCCTCTGTGGCCAGATATGAAAGGAAAAAATAAAGGAAAAAAAGGCAGGATTTTAAGACAGACTTGGCAAAGAAAAACCAAGAGTCTCCCACTAAAGGGCATGATAAACACTTTTCATTTCCCCTTAAGATTTCCTTCCAGAAGGGCAGGTCTTCAATAGCCTGTTTTTCCCAGAAAGGCCAAAGAGAACTAAGGAATTCACAGCTTTTTGACTCCGGAGACACAACACAACCAAAGGGGAAATGCTTTTTAGTCACACCATTTAAAACACTGTTTTCATTGGATGTTAATTCATCCACATTTAATCGAAAATCCCTACTAAAGTGGGAAATAAACCAACCTCCCACGCCACCTCTGGATAAAGAGATGTCCAGTTCAGCCCTTTGCCCCTCTGAAGAGATTTCCAGGAAAGAGATTTAACCTTTCTTATGTCTGGACACCACCACAGCTATTCCTACAGCAGAAACAGGCTTAAACATAGAAAATGCAGGTTCAGGCTTGCTGAGCACTATCAGATGGAACAGAAGTTTGTGATCCAGGGACACAAAGTGGTGGGGCTCCCCTTTGCTCCTGAGATCCTGAGTTGCAGAGAGCTTTAAGCATCCCCTGGAGCCCCATAGTACTCTTTCTCTTTACTGGTGCCTCAGTCTCTCCCAGTCCCATGCCAGCATAACTAGTATGTGATATCTCCTCATCCCTAGAAAGGTACCCAATCACTCCTACTTTTGGAGGAGAGGGTGGATAGCAATCTGCTGGGCTGGAAATCCAGGCTGGCACTTCCCCACCCTGTACTTGGGGCCAGAAATGCATGACAGCAAGGATTCAGCACAGCCTTAAAGACACTAGCAAAGCTATAAGGAGCCCAGTGCCCACAGTGATGCTGCAACCACTGCACGCTCCATCCCTACTGAGCTTCTGCAATTCCCCCAGCATGAAGCTTAAAGCAATTCCAAGGACATCTCACATCCCTCTCCTCGTGATGGATGCACACTCACCTACCCCTGCTCTGCAGCCCCTCACTGATTCAATTACAGTCTCCATCTCTTTGATTGAATTTAGCATAAAGCAACGCTTAGCCCGCACTGGCTGCTGAGAGCAAAGTGCCCCTTCTCCCTCCTGCTCAGCCTCAGTGAGCTGGAGAGGCTTCCCAGACCCAGCTGCCTGGGAATACTAAAGAAAGGAGAGGAGATTTTCCTCTGGCCCACATGTCAGAGGAGAAAGTGAGCTGCTCTGATGTGTCCTGGGTATTGTGGGCAAGGCTGAGAGGAAACACAAACAGACAAAATTGCATTTATCCAACCTATACTTATTTCACTATCATTTCTGTGCTACAGCAGTGAGATCTCAGCACTTCACAGTGATATTTAACCTCTCCACCACACATTTCCTATATGCTACATACTCAACTGTATCCTGGGCTGGACCCCCAGTGCGTGAGCAGCAGGTCAAGGGAGGGGATCCTGCCCCTCTGCTGCACTCTGGGGAGACACACACCCTCCCTCCCCCCCCAGTCCTGATCCAGCTCTGGGGCACAGCACAAGAGGGACGTGGAGCTGCTGGAGCAAGGCCAGAGGAGGACCCGGAGCTGCTGTGAGGGCTGGAGCAGCTCTGCTCTGGAGCCAGGCTGAGAGAGCTGGGCTGGGGCAGC